GGGAGGGATGGCCACGCCACAATCCCTTCTCCTCCCGGGATCTTGGGCACGCACACACACATGCCCGACGTGAGTTCTTTAAGCCGCCAGTCCCCACCAGACCCGGCTGACCATGTGTGAGTCCAGCGACCTAACGTCTGCTGGTCTCATAGATTTTTTTTTTTTAACTTACACCCTTAGGCGGGCACTCACCTTTACCCTTTGATGTCCAAACAAAAGCAGAGCAAAGCATACGCCCCCCTTCTTCAGATAAGGGAAGCTGGCTCAGAGCTTGCAGCCTGTGGGGCCGGCCCGGGGGGAGCCACAAACCCCGGGTTCCCGCACGCAGGTGGCGGCGGCCGGAGCCTTCGCGCAGACGCTCCGGCGCTACACGTCGCTCAATCACTTGGCGCAGGCGGCGCGCGCCGTTCTGCAGAACACGGCGCAGATCAACCAGATGCTGAGCGACCTCAACCGCGTGGACTTCGCCAACGTGCAGGTGAGCGCGGGGCGCAGGTGAGCGCGGAGCAGCCTTGCAGGGCGGGGCCCCGGCGGCAGCTGAGCCGCAGGCGTGGCCCGCCCGCTCTGCCCCAGGAGCAGGCCTCGTGGGTGTGCCGCTGCGAGGACCGCGTGGTGCAGCGGCTGGAGCAGGACTTCAAGGTGACGCTGCAGCAGCAGAACTCGCTGGAGCAGTGGGCGGCCTGGCTGGACGGCGTGGGGTGGGGCCAAGGGGCCCCCACCTTCCCAGAACAGGCCTGGGGCGGGGCGAAGCAGGATGAGGGCGGAGCCTCTGCCCTGGATGAAGGGCGCCTCCGGGAAGCGAGTGCGGGCCCCAGCCGGGATTGCTTGGCTTGCTCGATACCTGAGCTCCTGGAGGCGGAAATAGGGGGCAGGGGGCGGGGCGGAGCCGGGCCTGAGGGTGGGGCCAAGGGGCCCCCACCTTCCCAGAACAGGCCTGGGGCGGGGCGAAGCAGGATGAGGGCGGAGCCTCTGCCCTGGATGAAGGGCGCCTCCGGGAAGCGAGTGCGGGCCCCAGCCGGGATTGCTTGGCTTGCTCGATACCTGAGCTCCTGGAGGCGGAAATAGGGGGCAGGGGGCGGGGCGGAGCCGGGCCTGATGGTCGCCTGTGCGTCACTGCCCCCAGCTCCATGGTGATCCGGGACCTGACCCTGCGCAGCGCCGCCAGCTTCGGCTCCTTCCACCTCATCCGGCTGCTCTACGACGAGTACATGTACTACCTGATCGAGCACCGTGTGGCCCAGGCCAAGGGCGAGACCCCCATCGCCGTCATGGGCGAGGTGCGAGCGGTGGGGCGCTGGGGGCGCGAGCGGGGCTCCAGGCGGCGGGACCCTCACCCCTTCTATCCTCGCCTTCTTCCAGTTCGCTAACCTGGCCACCTCGCTGAACCCCCTGGACCCGGACAAAGGTAGGTAGGGGCACGTCCCCTCCCGTGTCCCAGGACCCCAGCAGGGCGGCTGGGAGGACCGGGTGGAGGAGGAGCCGGCAGGGTCCTGGGGCACCTTCGCCCCGCGCTGAGCCAGGCTTGGTCCGTGTGTCCCAGATGAGGAGGAGGAGGAGGAGGAGGAGAGCGAGGACGAGCTGCCGCAGGACATCTCGCTGGCGGCAGG